TCCAAGTCTTCAGTAGATTAAATTTTCTCTAATTCATAGTCATTGATCACTTCTTAGCTCAAACACAGGTCATTCAGAGAAGTCCTCCTTGACTCCATAGACCAGGAGTTCATTTCTTTAATTTCTATTATGACACACTCTGAACATATTATATTATTTCATAATATTAAACAAACTTTCATTAAATTGATAGTTACTTATTGCTAATAGACTGTAAATTTAAAGATAATAAGCACAATATTTGTCATGTATGCTATTCTATTCGCACTATACAAGGCAATGCTTAGAATATAGTGCATGGTGCACATGTGGTGAACAAATAGATGCATAAATGAATGAGCTAATATAAAAATATTATTAGAATTAAAAATTTCTAAATTGTAGCTAACAAGTACTAGTTGATAATGTCAAGAAAAGACAAGAAATGGGTAGAATTTTAGATTCACAGTCTAAAAAAATTTCATTATTTTGAGGCTTGAAATAATTATAGCATAATTTTATTTCATAGTGTTGATTTTGATATTTCCCATGGATGATCAGTATAAACTAAGGAAAGGTGAAGATCCTCTATAAAGCTTTAGGGAAGGAGAAAATAAGACTTAAAATGATGGAGACTGACATAATTTAAAGTGACATATGCCACCAGCTCCCATATGCATGACAGCTCCCACCTGTAATCATAGCAATTTGAGAGGCCAAGGTGGGAGGATCTCTTGAGGTAAGGTGTTTTAGATTAGCCTGAGTAACATTGTGAGACCCCCATCTCTACAAAAAATTAGCCAGGCATGGTGGCGTGTACCTGTAGTCCCAGCTACTCAGGAGGCTGAGGCAGCAGGACTACTTGAGCCCAGGAGAGGGTGGCTTCCACTGAACTTCAATAATACAAATTCCTTCTCAGTAGCACTTTCTTGAGGACCATGTTGGATGATGTATCGTCTTTGAATTCCAGAGAAACATATTCCTATGGCTGATTTTTTTTGGGGGGGGCGGAGTCTCACTCTGTTGCTCTGGCTAGAGTGAGTGCCGTGGTGTCAGCCTAGCTCACAGCAACCTAAAACTCCTGGGCTCAAGCAATCCTTCTGCCTCAGCCTCCCTAGCAGCTGGGACTACAGGCATGCGCCACCATGCCCGGCTAATTTATTCTATATATTTTTAGCTGTCCAATTAATTTCTTTCTATCTTTTTGTGGAGACGGGGTCTCGCTCTTGCTCAGGGTGGTCTTGAACTCCTGAGCTCAAACGATCCACTTGCCTCGGCCTCCCAGAGTGCTAGGATTACAGGCGTGAGCCACTGCGCCTGGCCCTATGGCTGATTTTTGAAACTCATAATATATCTCCTCCAACATACAAATGTTCCTTTGCCTTTAATCCTATTGTCTTCCAACTGACACAGCAATTTAGCCACTTCAAGGGTGCTTAGCATAGACCATTGATTTCTTTCAGGCCTATTGGAGCCACCAATCAGCAAGTGTGCCCCATCTGGTGATTTCTTTGTCAGGGTGTATGTCAGGTGAACAGGTACCCAAGCCAGTAAACTCTTTTTCTTTCCATTTTGTGTTCTGATTCCCGTCATTAAGTACTCTCAAAATCCAGTCCTAAGGGGACTCCCACTATCCCTGTAAGTACATGCTGGAGCATTCCCCTACCACAATGGGGCATACTATCTCATTCCCATTGAGGCCCCATGTCTTCCTGGCTAGGTTTTGCTGAGATTAAGGAAGCTAGGAGAGATCTGGGCAGACCCTGAGGATATTCACTAATGTGGATGTCTCTGCAGTGTCTTCTTCTACAGGAATTCTAGGTTTGATAGGAAGGATGGACCACCTCTGTTGTCTTTGTGGATCCAGAGAAATTGTGGAAACCAACATTTTCAGGGGCATTCATGCAAATGTCGGGATCATCAGGCTCCCAGGTTTTCCTATGAATGAACTGCTTCCACTGGACATTCAATTATTTTAACATTTGAAACTCTATTAAATCTAGAGTTTGATTTACAGATTTTTCTGCTCTCCCAGTGCACAGAAAATGCTCTTTATTATTATTTTTTATTTAGGTATACATAATATACAAAAAGTTGCACATATTTAAAATGTACAATTTAATAAGTTTGGCATATGTATACACCTATGAAACTATAAGTAAAATCGAGGCAGTGCACACATCTATCACTCCAGAAAGTCTTCTCATCCATTTTTCTCAACCCTCCCTCTTACCCTTCTTGTCCTACCCTGTTCTCAGGTAACTACATATCAACATTTGTCTTTGCTAGATGGTTATTTTGCTGAACAAATTATGTAAGCCAGATTTCAGTGGTGTTGAGATAGGGGATCCTATCTTGTTCTGAAAACTAGGCTCTAGGCTCTTGGATCACTGTGAGGAGTGGGACCCCCCCAAAGGTTGGGGGCAAGATAAATACCACCCAATCACTCCCCATGTGAAGTACCCAGTGGGAAGAGAGCCCTTCTAGGTCGTTGCTAAGGAGCTGAGGCAGGAAAGAAGGGAGTTCCAGGATCACCATCATTATGGCCCATCATAACCCTGCCTTGCCTGGTGATTTCCAGAATTAGATCATCTTTTCCCTTATTTAATTTTTGATTTTTCATTTCTTTTTTAAGAAATCACTTTCTAACATAGGAGCAAAAGGACATTCTTCTAGCTGGGTGCAGTGTCAAGTGCCTGTAGTCCCAGTGACTCGGGAGGCTGAGGCGGGAGGATCACTTGAGCCCAGGAATTTGAATTCAGCCTGGGCAACCCCATCTCTTAAAAAATATATACAAGAATATCCTTTTAATATTCACTTTAAAAAATGATCAATTTGCCTTTAACATTGAATGTAATGCAATTGAAATTATTATTTGTGGATAATATTAAATAAATATCAGAGCATATTTACTTAGAAAGACTTCAATTTGACATGTACTTGCAATACTTGTCTATTCAGTCATAAATCAGCATCTACACAATAGGGGAATCTAGGCCTTGCCCTTTGATTTCTGTGGTCTTTCTTCTTATTGCTGTACCAATAGCCCTTCGCTTAATTGATGTATTGTCCTGAGACAATAAAATCTGCCACTGATGTGTCAAAATACATATTTGATATTTCGCCCCATAAAAGAACACTACTCTAACATTGCTGATATCCACATTAAGTAGAACATTTATATGTATGCAGCAAGCCATTGGAATCTGTTCATCATTACTAAAGATTTAAAAAATCCAAAAATGACCAACAATCAAAAAGGTAAATTGAACTCATTACTTTTTTACTTACATCTGGATTTTTTTTTCTATTGTCTGTTTTCTAAACTGAAGAAAAGATTTTTCCTCCAGTGTGGTAAGTAAATGACTCAAAAATTAAAACAATGTAGGCATGTTGATGAAAATAATCTATTATTCAACATGATTGACTTATCATCATTCTATTTAGGATCCTAAACATTCTACTGAAGACCTTAACCTCTGCTATTATGCTTTTTTCATGAAGAAATTCATAATCACTATTACTGAATCAAATTAAATCTAGTGATATTTTGCTTCTCAGCTGTAAGAAATATACTGAGGCTTTGCATCCATAAATCAACTTATATCAGTGTTTCTCAAACTTTAGCATTCATCAAAATCACCAGAAAGATTTGTTAAACCACAGATTGCAGTCCCTATGCACATACTTTTTGATTCATTAGTTATTGGGTGTGGCCCAAGAATTTACATTTATAACAAGTTTCAGATGATACTGAGGCTGCTGGAACTGGAAACAAATTTTGAGAACCCCATGCTCAATCATTTATTTATTCCAGATTGGCCCTAACATTTCCTATCCAGTTGGTTTACCTTGTATTTCATAGACTGTTCAATGTTTTACAGCATTTATTTTCATTACTATTCTCTATTACTAGTGAAAAATCTTTGAAACCATATTGTTTTGGAAATAAATTTCTTCCTTTCAGTAATATAATTTAGTGATGATACTGCATTTTATGTGACACCATAGTGGAGATTATGGAGCAATCCACTGTAAATGAAAATTATTGAAAAGACAGTTATTACAACATTATGTTTTCCATTCCAACATTGTTACATGCTCATTATGTCATAGACACTGTGTGACCTGCTGAAAATATAGCCTGACTATGAGGCACTTCCTATATCTTTTGCAACTTATAACTACTCTAAAAGAAGAGAGTCAGCCATTCTGAAATCATATATAATCATGAACCACATATATGATGGTGGTCTTCTAAGATTATAGCACTGAATTTTACTGTACCTTTTCCTTGTATATATATGTTTAGTTACAAAAAATACTTGCCATTGTGTTAAAATTGAATATGTTGTTCAGTACAGTGACATGCTTTACAATTTTGTAGCTTAGGAACAATACATAACACCACATAGCGTAGGTGAAGTAGGCTGTGCCATCTAGGTTTGTGTAATCACACTCTATGCTATTTGTGAAAAAATGAAATTGCCTAATGATGCATTTCCTACAACTTATTCCTGTCACTAAAGGACACATGACTGTAAAGAATGTCTATTCTGTTCCTAAGACTGAGTGGAAAATTCCATGTAAAATAGATATTTTCCTCCTAAAGGTGAATGAATGTGTAGGATTTACTAGATCTTCAAGAGGGAGATCTTGGACTGACATGTGCATTGTAACAAACCAGGTCTGTCCATGATGTTCACACTCTGTTCTTCATTAGACCATTAAGTTGGAAACACACATTTGATATTTTCAGAACTCCACCCAATAGATTCACAAAGCAAGGGAAAATCACCAAATATGTATTTTAGATAATGGGCCACAAGAGATGATTTCAACTTAAATAAAGTGGACCAAAAACATTTTGCATTACACTTTTAATAACAGTGAAATAAAGTTATGTTAAAGTAGATTAAACTTAGAGGACAGTAAAGTGTGATTGATTTGCTTCAGCTGAGTAGGGCTCCCCAGCACATGGAGTTCACAGATTTGCAGTCAGGTTCCTGACTCATCCCTGCTCATCTGTGGCCAATGAGAAAGAAGGGCCTGACAGGGAAAGAGAAGGAGCCAGCAGGGTATTTCCATATGAGGGAACTCTTTGCAATGTTCAAAAAACTCACACTTCCACTCTCCAAATCAAGAAACACACCAACCCGGCCCAGAGGTTTCTCGACATAGTGAGGAACCATGGGGGAGGTGGTGAAGAGAGTGTTGTGATTATCCTCCTTCACACATAAAAGTAGAAATATGTCCTTAGATTTCAACAATGTGCCATTCTTCTTTATCCAGGAATCTTTACAGACTCCTAGAGCCCAATCTCTAGAGTTGTCTACATCCAGCTCCCAGTAGTGTCTCCCAGAGGTGAAGCCCTGGACTCCCCTCATAGCAAAGTAGTTAGAGCCATCAGTATTCAAAGATGCATCTTGATAATCAGGTCTAAATATCAAGCTTCTCACATCATCAAACAGCCTGATATCGTGATTGGTTATTTCACTGTGGAAGTAAATCTCCACTGTGGAAAGAAGAGAACATTCTAGTCAAAATCAGTTTTTCAGTTAAATATATGAAATGAGAGCATTGACCTAGAATCTTACTGGAAAAAAACAGATTAAATTTCTATAAAAATTTATGCCTGGAAAAATACTGAATTCAAAGACTTTGAGAATATTTGCAGAAGTAAATACCTAACCCAAAGAAAACAATGCCTAAAAATTCAGAAATTATAAAGGGGAAGGAGGTGATGCCCACTTTGGTTGATAGCTTTTCCTGACACCTGAAAAACTGGAGTCTGTGCATTGCAGCCCAAGTCCACAACAATACAAGTTACCTCCACTACCCTTTCTCTTTTGGGGCAGAGAAGTGGGGGATGGGAGAATTTCTTAGCTCTAAATAGGAGGCTACTACCTTGCCAGAGATATTGTACTCTGCCAGTTAAGCTAGCAACTTGACACCTAAGATGAAGAAAAAATCTGAATATACGTTATTAGAAGTGATTTCCTTCTAAGCATTATCTGGCTTTTATGCCTGATTCAGGCCTAGTAATGTTTTTCCTGTCAGACTAAGCGTGGTCTATCAGGGAGTTCTATATAAAGCTTCATCAACTACCAAATCATTTTATTGTTGTTCATAAGTTTTCACTTTTTATGTTTAGTTACAGAAAATCATTCATGTCTTTTTAATTATATTAATTAAAGTGTGCATTACTACAAATTCAATTACTATGAAACTTTAACTGGAATATATTTAAAAATAAAAGACTAGCAATTCTACCACAATAATTAACTGCACTTAATTTGAAAGTGCATTGTCCTGAGTTAATAATCAGTTCTGTATGATTCATTGAACTCTCATTGTATCAGAAAATGGTTTTATGTTCCATGGAGTCTTTCTTTTGTGTGTTTTCTTTTTCTAAATAATTTATTACTGGGCTGAATCTCATTACCTCTCACCAGGTTTCATTTAGTTGTGTCCACAGGATGATAGTACAACCGTGACTATAAATGCCTATTCACAGGCTGTTCTCTTCTCAATGAAAGGTCATTGCAGAGGGAAAGCTGGCCCACAGGAAACCATTACTGAAGACACTGCATGGTGATCCCACCAATGGGCTGACACTCACCTCAGAAGCAGCTGAGCCTGTCCACCAGTCCAGTGATGGGAAATGCACTGAGCTCTGGATTCACAGGCTGGGGCATGTGCTTGTGCACGGACTCACTGCTGCAAGGAGGCAGGTTCAGTTAGTTAATCTGTCTGGTGTCTGTGTTTAAGTAATCACAATTTCCAACTGAGACTGCTTCATAAAATTCCATTTCTGACATTGCAGTGTACACAATCCTGGGATGGATTGTGGTATTTTTTTGGAAATATATCTTAGTCTTCTGTTTCCACCCTTGCCTCAAAAAATTTACTTGCCTCTTTCTTTTACCATCTGTAACTATGTGGTTTCTTTATCTGTGTATGTTTGTGACTCCAAATCGTAAAAACACAGGTGACTGTATTCTAGTAACATCTCCACTGAGCCCTTCAACACATAACCCCTGAGTCACATAGGCAGGCTGAGGAACACTAATTTGTGATACAAAGGCATAGAGAAAATATTAAACATAGCACACAAACACACACACTAGTGACTTAATTTGTTAATAAATTATGTTTTCACTTTGTGAGAAAACACTAGATCTATGCAATAGCTCCCCTGGTGCCCCGGCTCATGTTGAAGGTAAACATACCTTGTCAGTATTGCTCCCAAATCCTCCTATAAAGAAAAAAAAGAAAAGTTTAGACATCTTCAAATATTAGTTATTCTTCCCATCCAGGCTTTGGGTATGGGAAAGTTCAGAAAAGTACCAAAACTATCACCCCAACCTTCCTTATATTAATAAATGCTTTTTGGCTTCTTAGGAATGATCCCAGTAAAACACATACAGAATCAAAATTCTTGACAGATTCAGAACCATGAGTTGGAATGAAGAGAAACACATAGGCAGTGACTGCATTGCTGCAAACCACCACCCTCTGCAAGTGATCTTTCCCAGGGCTGTCCCCAAAGGGCAGCGTGCCTCAAATTAAGGGCATTTCAAACTTAAGACTTCCAAAAGGAGGAGGAAGTAGATGTTAGCTTTTCCCAAATTTCTATTCATTGCCCAATGGAAACAAAAATTAAATTTGCATGAGAATTTGTTCCATCCGGGTTTTTATAGGGGTCTACTGGGTAAGGCAGACTTTAGAAGGAAATATTTCTTGGGAAATTTACTTGCACAGTTCCATAAATCTTAGAGTTAATTGATAGGTTACCAGTTACAGTTTCTCTGTATTATACTTAAGTGGAAAGGAACCTCACCATAAATAAAAAGGATGAAGAAAAATGTCTTTGGTACTCAAGAATTAATGGAGGGCAAAGATGTAAATGTTAGCCAATATAAAATGTTTCAAGGCACTTCATCAGTTATTACCTGGAGCAGTTCCACATCTGGTTTATGACACATTTCCATCAGTGTCCTATATGTTTTTTTTAGTTGTTTCCTCTTTTCATCCATTTTGGCTTCACTTGTGTTAAGTTGCTGAAAAATCTCTTGGCTTTCCTGTTTCAGTCTCTCTATATGTTGTTTTTCTTCCTCTTGGAGAGCTGGAGGCAGCTTACTATACTCATCCCCAATCATCTTTGCCCATAGATCCACATAGTCCTGCAGGGACAGGGATTTCTCAGATCACATACATGAGCCGGCTTCATCCTCCTCCACTTAAACTTCATCAAGTTCTCTCTGAATCATCTTCTCTACTAATCAGCTACATGCGCCCTAATTCACGTCCTCCCATTTCTTAAGAGTCCACACATACATCGTGCTCCATCCTTCACTTATTTTCCATTCTTTATTAAAAATTTGAAGAGATAAACCAGCCCTTCCCTCAACATTCATGTAATTCATAAATTCTTAAACAACTGAAGAAAGCCTTTCAGGTTTAAAATATTTTATATATATCCTCGCAAATCTGAAATACCCCCTGAAAACAATTGAAATTTCTGATTCATTATTAAATCATTGTATGTGATGTATCTGATCTTTGTTACTAAATTAGTCTCTAATTTCAAACCTCCTTAATTCGCAGCCTCAATAATCAGTGTTAGCAGAAAAGCTGTCCATACATTATATTAAGGATAAAAACCTGTCACACAAAGGGTATTCTAGTAAAATGTTTAGCCAAGCCCTCAAACTGACTTCTATCCTGCTTTCTTTCTTCCTGCTATCTAAGATCACAGGCACTATAGTGCCTGTCATTCTAAGAACATTAATCCTTATGCCGTTGTGTCAATCTTCCCAATATTCATCTAGTCATTCTCTCACTCCCCCAGTCTCTTTTCCCCGATTTTTCTGCAGCTTTTCAGCATGTTCAATTTTCTGCTACTTGTACCTGCAGCATCATGTAGCTCCTGTGCTGTCAGAGTTTGCCATCACAGCCACACTTCTTTCTTTTTTTATTTCAGGGTATTATGAGGGTACAAACATTATAGTTACACTTTATATCTTTGTCTCACCCAAGCGAGGGTTAAAGGCATGCCCTTCCCCCCTACAATGCTCCCCATGTCCTTTAGTTGTGGATTTACCCCCCCCATCCCCCTAATCCCTAGAGAGTATTACTGCCATGTGAGAACCCTGGTGTTGATCAGTTAGAACCAATTTGATGGTGAGTACAAGTGGAGCCCATTCTTCTGATCTTGTGGTACCTCACTTTGGATAATGGGCTTAAGTTTAATCCAGGAAAGTATAAGAGGTGCTAGATCACTGTCATTTCTTATGATTGAGTAATATTCCATTGTAAACATATACCAAATTTTAATAATCCACTCATGGATTGACGGGCACTTGGGTTGTATCCACATCCTTGCAATAGTGAATTGTGCTGCCATAAACATTCGGGTGCAGATGTCTTTATCATAGAATGTTTTTTGCTCTTTTGGGTAGATGCCTAAGAGTGCTATTGCTGGATCGAATGGTATTTCTATTTTTAGCTCTTCGAGGTGTCTCTAAATTCTTTTCCACAGAGGTTGCACTAATTTGCAGTCCCACCAGCAGTATAAGAGTGTTTCTGTTTCTCCATGTCCTCGCCAGCATTTCTTGTTTTGGGATTTTTCGATAGAGGCCAATCTCACTGAGGTTAGATGGTATCTCATTGTGGTTTTAATTTGCATTTCTCTAATGATTAGAGATGTTGAGCATTTTTTATATGTTTGCTGGCAATTATTCTGTCTTCTTTTGAAAAGTTTCTGTTCATTTCCTTTGCCCATTTGTTAATGGAGTTGTTTGATTTTTTCTTGTTGATTTTTTTGAGTCCTAGATAGATTCTGGTTATCAGCTCTTTATCAGATGTGTAGAGAGCAAAAAAATAATTCACCATGACCAGGTGGGCTTTATTCCAGGCATATAAGGCTGGTTTAACATATACAAATCTATAAATGCAATCCTCCACACAAATAAAACAAGAACAAAGACCATATGATTCTTTCAATAGATTCAGAAAAAACATTTGACAAAGTCCAACACACCTTTATGATAAAAACCCTCATCAAAACAGGCACAGATGCCTCATTCCTTAAAATTATCAAGCCCATTTATGACAAACCCACTGCCAATACCATGTTGAATGGAGAAAAATTGAAACCATTCCCACTTAGAACTGGAATTAGACAAGGCTGCCCTCTATCTCTACTTCTATTCAACATAGTTCTCGAAATCCTCGCCACAGCAATTAGGCAAGAGAGGGGTATTAAGGGTGTCCAAATGGGGACAGATGAGATCAAACTCTTGATCTTTGCCGATGAGATGATATTATATCTAGAAAAACCCAAGGATTCCTCTAAGAAATTCCTAGAACTGATAAATGAATTCAGCAAAGTCTCAGGATACAAAATCAATACATACAAATTTGCGTCATTCATATACGCCAATAACAGTCAAGCAAAAGCTCAAATCAAAAACACAATTCCTTTTACAATAGCCTCAAAGAAAATTAAATATCTAGGAATATATTTAACAAAAGATATGAGAGACTTATACAGGGAGAACTATGAAACACTAAAAAAAGAAATTGTAGAAGATGTAAACAGATGGAAAAACCTACCTTGCTCATGGATTGGTAGAATCAATATTGTTAAAATGTCGATACTACCTAAAGTGATCTACAGAATTAATGCAATCCGTATCAAAATCCCATTATCATTCTTCACAGATCTGGAAAAAATAATTCTATGCTTTGCATGGAACCAGAAAAGACTTCATATAGCCAAAGCAATCTTAAGTAAAAAGAACAAACTGGGAGGTATCAGTCTACCAGACTTCAAGCTGTACTACCAGGCTATAGTAACTGAAACAGCATGGTACTGGCACAAGAATAGAGACATTGACCTCTGGAACAGGACTGAGAATCCAGAGATGAAACCATCTGCATATGGTAATCTAATCTTTGAAAAAGCTAAAAAAAATATACATGGGGGAAAAGAATCTCTTTTCAATAAATGTTGCTGGGAAAACTGGATAACTATATGCAGAAGAATGAAACTGGATCCCCCCCTCTCACCTCTCACAAAAATCAATTCAAGATGGATAACAGACTTAAACCTAGGCATGAAACCATATGGTAATCTAATCTTTGACAAAGCTGACAAAAACATACACTGGGGAAAAGAATCTCTTTTCAATAAATGGTGCTGGGAAAACTGGATAG